CACTCCCCTTTTCCCCTCATGCGTTGGCCCTCCGCAATATCTCCGCTCGGACGTGTCCAGCCTAAACCGGGATTCACCCTAAACCCCCTATTCCCCCCTCCCCCTCCCCCTCCCCCTCCCCCTCCCCCTCCCCCTCCCCCTCCCACATGCGCCCCCCCCCCCCCCCCCCCCTCCAACCCCATGAACTACCCTAAACCATGTGTTTTACAGGGGTCTCTGGAGAGGCACCACCGAGAAGGGTCATGTGCGCGGAAACTAAGCGACACGAAATTTCTGCACCTCCATTGGCGGGAGAGGCGCGTTCCAAGGGTGTCCTGAAGCGCGAGGGGGATACAGCTGTGACCCGGGCGGAGTTCACCACGCTGGAGGGGACGTTGATGGGCGAATTGGCTACGATTCGTACCATGCTTCAGGATCCTCGGGCGAGTGCATCGAGGAACCCCCATTCGATGCTCTCGTGATCGGAAGCAATGCACCTTCAGCCGCCACACCGCAGGCATCTGCATCTTCTGACGACGATCAGCCTCCAGTCTTCCTGGCTAAGTCCATTGTGACGGGGATGTTTCGAGACTTTTGGGTGAGTGTTTGATATTCCTTGGTCACGTGGGATGAGGGTGCTGGGAAGGGGCGGTGGGGATTGGTCTGGGGAAGGAGTTGTGTGGTGAGACAGCAAAAGAGAGTGGCTGGGTGAGATTGTATAGACATGAACACCAAACTCTAACAGTTGCTATTTCCTATCCTTCAACCCGGCCCACGTGGACATGTACTTCAGCCTCATGATGTCTTGCATCTTCCTTGTTTTTTCAGCAGATTTCACCATTGACCTAGGATATTTGCTTCATGTCTATGGTCTCTAAAACTCATCTATATGGGTGGCTTTTGTTGTACACGTTTTACCCACTTAACAGATCGTGGGACGCAGCGCAGCAACAAAGCTGCTCTACACCAACTCCCCCGAGAAGATCCAGTTTTATCCCACGAATGAGGAGGCTATGGCTCTTGCTTTTAAGGATCTAATGCCAGCTGATGTGGCCAAGCACTTGCTGGTGTTGTTGGACCACAATGATCCAGCAACGCGTGGTGCGTTTCTGGAGGCCATGTCACAGGCCAGGACCACGATCAACAGTCCCGGGCGAAAGGTTGCACTACCCGCACTTGGACAGGCTGCGGTGAAGATCTACGTGAGCGCTCTACCACCAATGCTGAGCCCCTCGGAGGAGTACTACACCGATGAGCAACTCGTGGAAAAGTACCTTGACGGTAGGATACGCATCTTCTGGGTGTTGTTAGTGAATGTGATGTCTCATTTAGTTTAATAAGAGACCTTACAGGTGTTTACTTGTATCCTCCCACTGTGTGCAGACGAAAAGCACCTGCGTTGGCATTTCCACAGGGGGAAGCCGTTCTCATCCCTCATTTTTGCAGTCACCGTCCAGCAGGCTCTCACAACGCGGGGCGTCAACGTGGAGAAGTATAAGCTCCGTCAGATCGCGTGGATCTTCTTTGCGGTATGTGCTGGAACGTGTGGGGTTATCGCGATGTGCTCTTGTTTGTTAGCAGCGATTGTGTTCTCATCCCTAAACGCAATGTTAGGATTACGCTCAGCCCTTGTGTGCCGTCCGTGTCGTGCTTGGCATGTTGGGTTTGTGGTGGGCCTCTTCATACGGTGCTGCTGTTTTTTCTGCCCCGGTACCTCACTTCTTTACGCCCTTAGATCGAATGGACATTGGTGAATGACATTGCAGATGGCAAGTTGACAAACAAGTGGAAGGTGAATCGTAGCGCCTATGAGGTGATGTGTGCGTGGGTGAAGAGGATGGTCGAGCATGCGGTGCTCGACCTCGGGGTGCCATACAACAAGCAGATGAACGCTTTCGTCTTTCCCAACGATGTCTTCATAGACGCAACAGATTGCGGGGAGATCGTGCATGAGTTGAATGTAAGTCGGGAGGAGGTTCCGGACAAGTATGGTCGTTTGTATGTTACAGGTACTGTGGTGAAGGGAGCTTATCCACCGCATCGTTAGAGCGTTGGCACTCATACCACACGGGTGTTTGCAAACTCTCCCTTTATCTCCCTTGTGTCCGTTGTACATGTGCAGATGAGGGAGCGAGGCGTCGGGAGCTCCGGTGAGGCTTAGGAAGGTGGTGGCGTCGCTAGCGTCAAATGCAGGGTGTAAGGGAATGAGAACGCGCAAAAGTTTTAGCGGGAGGCGAGTAGGGGGGACTTTGCCAGGCACATTGGAGAGATTGGAGTAGGCGGCAGCTGTGTACGCTACGGGATGAGCGGAGGCTGCAGCAGAGGTCAGGGAGTGGGCCCGGTGTAGGAGGCCGCGGCGAACGGAGCAGCGCACTGGGTGAGACGACTGCAAGTTTGGGGGGTGGGCGGCTGCACAGCGTGCAGAGGCGGGTGTGCGCTGGCGGTGGCAATGGGCGCAGCGAGGAGTTGGAGTGGGCCGCGGCGATGGAAGCAGACATGGGTGAACCAAGCAGTGTGCGAAGACGTTTGCAAAGTGAGAAGGGAGGTGTCTGAGTGGGCGGGTGCACAGGGGGGAGCAAGCAACAAACCCTAGGCGACAACAATGGGTGCAGCGGGGGATGGTTGCAGGTGGGCCGCGATGTGCGCACGTGAGGTATCATGGAGGCGGCAGCGTTGGGGGTCACGGATAGGATGAGTGGGCGGCAGATACGGGCGCAAGGGGGAATGTGTGGTAACAGCACCAGGAGGTGGCGAAGGGAGTCTTAGGAGGCAGCAATGGGTGCAGCTTTCAGTTGAGCTGGTCGCAGGAGCGGAGGCAGCAACGAGAGCAGGGAAGGGAGGTAATGCAGGGATCGGCTGCAATGGGTGTAGTGAGAATTTTGATCTGGTGGGAGCAATGGGTCTAGCCTTGGAGGCCAAGTACCAGCTTCACATGGAAGAGCCGGGAGGAATAGTGGCAACAGCAATGGGCGCGGACGGAGATGTTTGCAGGCGGCAGAACTGGGTGCAGCGGGACTGATGAGTAGGTCCCAGCAAAGCTCGTAGGCCAGCAGAGTGGGAGGTCAACGCAGCGGACACCTGGACTGCTCAGGGGAAGGGGAGGGAGGCACCAGTGATGGCGGCGGCGGGGTTGAGCGGGAGGCAATCATGGAAGCAGCTACCGGCAGAGGGTTCAGCAATGAATGTGGGCAGGCGGATGCGATGGAAGCAACGGCTTGAGAAGTTGGTGTGTGCAACCAGACTGGGTGGGCGCGACGGGGGTGAGTGTTTGTTTTACAGGGGGAGTGCAGCAGGTAGTGTGTGCAACCGGCAGTAGTGGGCGCATCCAAAGCGTAGGTATTTCGTGATGATGGCAGGGCGTTGCAGAGAGTGTGGGTTGGCGACCTTACAGGGCTCGGAAAGGATTGTGGCTGGCATGATGCGGTGGAAGCAGCAATGGGTGGCCTGGAGGCCCTGGTAGGCAGCAGCTATGGGCGCGGGGTGGGGGGATGAGTAGGCGGCAATGGTGGACGCATGAACAGGGTTGAGGTTTCTGGGATGCTGAGGTGGTTGGGGTGCTTGAAGCAGTTTGCGTAGAGCTGTTTGTAGACATTATTGTCGTTAGTGGATGTAGTGGTTTGTAGGTTGGAACCTTGTAGTTTGAAGGGCAGTCAAGTAACCCTAAATCTGTTTGTTATAGTGGCCCTTACTTTAATTGATTTAAAACACGTTTTAATGCTAGGTGTGCTGTAAATATCTGAAAGAACCTAGCAATGCTGTAGAACCCTTTGATCCCAAAAGCAGAACATAATTGCAGCTATTTTGGTCCAAAATTTGGCCAATTTGGGTCCAGTCTAATCTGTCCAATTTTGTCATTGTTTTTGCACAAAATGTGTATGTCCAAGTACACCTAAATTGGTCGTTGTTATGATGTCCAAAATTGGACTGGTTTTGGTCATATTTTGGTTCCAAGCACCAATTTTGGTCTAAATTAGGACCAAACTAGTGCCCCATACTTTGTGATGCCATGGTCGTAGATGCGACGCCTAGTTGCGCGCGTGACGGTGGCGAGCAGCGGCGCACCAGTGGCAAGTGGTGTGGAGCGTTAGCGAGTGGCGCACGAGGTGGGAGCGTGCAACGTCATGCAATAGGCCCCTGTCCTACTTTCCCATTCCCCCACTCCTTCAATCCCTTTCCCCCTGTCCTTCCCTCCTTTCCTCCATGTCCTTCCCACCCTTTCACGCTGTCATTCTCCCCCTTTCCCCTTAGTCCTTCCCTTCCATTCATCGTTTTCGTTATCCTAATGCTTAATTCTCCCCCCTGCCGTTTCTGCCCTGTCCCCCCATCTTTCCTTCCCTTTCTTCTCCCTCCCTCCTTTCCCCTCTCCCAACCCACTGCTTCACCCTGCTCTCATCCCTCCCCTTGCCCCCATTCGTCCATTTTCCCCCTCTACCGTCGCTGCTTTTCCTGCTCGTTTCCCTTTCCTGAACCCTTCCTTTCCCTCTCTCACATCCCTGCCCGTTCCCACTATCCCGTCCCACCATTCACCCTTCTCCTGTCCATCCCTTTCCCTCCTCTCCTGTCCCTCCCCTGTCCTATCCCATTCCCCCTGTCGCTTCAATCCTCCCTCCTGTCCTATCCCATTCCTGTCCTAGTAATGGTAGGGGGGGATTGCAGAGTTTGAGTAGTTCATCTTCTCTTGATGTTTAGCTCGAACATTTGCGCTTTTTCGTCCCCGATATGCCTCATAGCAGCAGCAAACAACACGGGCCGATGCGATGACGGTGGTGCGTGACGATAACGAGCAGCTGTGGCAAGCGGCGGACGGCATGCCAAAGCACCCCCCGCGGCGGCGGCGGCGGCGGTGGTGCGGTTGACGTGACGGCATGCCAAAGCACTATTCGCTATTCAGCACCCCCCGCTGCTCCCCCCTGCACCCATTCGTCCCCTTGCCCCCTCACCCAAGCCTCTATGTGAAGCACTCCCATCCGTCGCTGCACCCCTTGTTTGCTCCAGGGCATTCCCCCCTGGAGCCATCCCCCATGGCACATCTAAATATGCCACACTTTCAGTTTCACTCCTCTTCATTCCCGAACTCCCCTTGTCCGTCAATGCCTTGGCCCCTTGCCCTTCCCCGCAGGCAGCACAGGCGCGACGGTAGCAGACGGCTCGCTCTCACCGTCTCTCCACCACCAATCCTCCTCTCCCCTCTCCCGCCGTCCCACCTTTCCCCCGTTACCGTTCCTCCTCCCCGCCGTCCCCGTCCCTCCTTCCATCGGTGTCCGTCCCTCCTTCACCTCGTCCTTCCAGCTCCCTTCCCCTCTGTCCTTCTCCACCTTTCCCCCTGTCCTTCTCCCCCTTTCCACATGTCCTCCCCTCCCTTTCCTCCTATTCATCTCGGCTCCCTTCCCCCCTGTCCCTCTCCTCCTTTCCCCCTGTCCTTCTCCCCTTTCCCCCTGTCCTTATCCCCCTTTCCCCCTTTCCTTCTCTCCCTTCCCTCCCGTTCTTCTCAGCTCCCTTCCCCCCTGTCCGTCTTCTCCTTTGCCACTGTCCTACTCCTTCGGTCCCCCTGTCCTTCTCTCCCTTTCCTCCAGTTCTTCTCAGCTCCCTTTCCCCCTGTCCTTCCCACACTTTCCCCCATGTATTCCCCTCCATTTCCCCCCGTCCTTCACCCCATTCCCCCCTGTCATTCTCTCCCCTTTCCCCTGTGCTTCTCCCCCTTCCGTTCCCTTCCTCTCAGCTCCCTTCCCCCCTGTCGTTTTCCTCCTTTCCCCCTGTCCTACGCCCCCGTTCCCCTTGTCCTTCTCTCCCTTCCGGTCCCTTCTTCTCAACCCCCTTTCGCCCTGTCCTTCTCCCCTTTTTCCCTCTGTCCTACTCTCCCTTTCCCCATGCCCTTTTCCCCCTATCCCCCTGTCCTTCTCTCCCTTCCCCCTTGTCTTTCTCCCCTTTCCCCCCTGTCCTTCTCTCCTTTCCCCATGCCATTCACTCCCTTTCCCCGTGTCCTTCTCTTCCTTTCAGTTCCGTTCTTCTCAATGCCCTTTCCCCCTCACCCTAAACCCTTTTTTCCCCTGTCCCTCTCTCCGTTTCTCTGTGCCCTTCTACCGCTCTCCCCCCTCATTCTCTCCCTTTACTTGCCTTCTTTTCAGCTCCCTTTTGCCCTGTCCTTCTCCCCTTTTTCCCCCTGTCCTTCTCTCCCTTTCCCCATGCCGTTCTCCCCCTTTCCCCTTGCCCTTCTCTCCCTTCCGGTCCCTTCTTCTCAACCCCCTTTCGCCTTGTCCTTCTCCCCTTTTCCCCCCTGTCCTGCTCTCCCGTTCCCCATGCCCTTCTCCCCCTATCCCCCTGTCTTTCTCTCCCTTCTCTTGCCTTCTTCTCACCCCCCTTAGCCCCTGTCTTTCTCCACTTCGCCCCCCTGCTCTTCTTTCAATTTTGTATGCTTCGTCCCCATTCCTAGGGACGGATGGTGGTCGCAAAGCTTGACACGTTGGGTATGAAGGGATTCACCTGGCATGCGGCCTCTAAAATCTGTTTCCCTATGAATGTATAGATTTCAATCACAAGTACCTATTGGTAGATGAATTGTAATATGATTGCAATAATGCATGTTGTGGAAGATTAAAGACGCTTGATGTTGTAAATAAATGCACAGCAATGTCATGGTCACCCCTTGTGGGCATGTCAGTTTTGAATCATTACTGTAAGGCCTTAACAAAATAAAGAACATACTTGCATGAACCTTTCGTGCATAACATATCACTGTGGGTACAAAGAGGTCAAGACACGGTGAAATATGGTATAAAACAGGTGGTGCATTTGAATGTCTCATTCCAAGGCGGCCTTATGCACTAAAAAGGGAACGAAGGGTGATGACTGTGTCATGGCTGAAAGAACTACGCCAAGGCACAATGATCATCCTAGGTTCACGACTCAATTATACTCTCTCTATACTTCATCGCCCCACCCCTTTCTCTCATGTCATAAGCTTGTCTCCTTCCCCTTGTCAAAGCATAGATGTCCATCTAAATACGGTATTTCATGCCAAGGCATGAAGAGTTTAGCTAGGAAAAGAACCTAGGGTGATTATTGTGCCTTGGCTGAATGATCTAGGCCAAGGCACACTAATCACCCTAGATCCATGAAACAATACTCTTCCGTTGTTTGTCCGCGGCCTCCCGTTCTCTCCATGCCTTCCTGGGGGGTCTCCAATGTTCCCTTTCACCGCGCGCTGCTATGTTCTTCCATTTGCATAACAGGCTCCTCAGCTTCCTCGCCCTCCTGGTGACCAGAGCTAGTAAACACCATACCATGCCCATCCTTCAAACCTTCCCTGCACGAGGGTGTGTTGGAAGGGTATGTGGGAGGGAGTTGGGATGAAGAAGTCGAGTTTGCAAACACACACATACCTCTGCTCCCTTATAGAAAGATTTTGAGTCGGCGTTGAAGTGCCACTGAGCCGCTGAGTCCGCGAGGAGCTTGAGGAAGACGGGTACCTCCGCGCATGGGCAGCCGTATGTGTCTACCGCCAGGGGGAAAAAGCCAACCGTCTCCGGGCGGTTGGCATAGTGCTTAATCTTCTTGTCGGCCTGCTCACGCTGGGCCGCCCACCCCCTGCCTTTCTGAGCCTCTGGGTCCCTGGTGCTGATGGGATCGGTGACAGTGACGTCACATATGTAAACCGCTCCGCTGCTTCTGTCCGTCATTGTGAAGTCCGCCGTCTGTTCCTCGATGGGGCAGTAGGCGGTGGACTCCCGATGGACTATAAAGCCCGCATCTTGCGCCATGCTTACGCAAGCATCCCGCAGCTCGGTGTGAGTGTTTGTGCGGTGTTTGCCCGTGCCGCAGCGGAGCAGGTGGTTTGGGAGCCGGGGGTCAGTGATGGCCGTGTGCTCCGAGCAGTCGCAGTTCTTGGGAGTTGAGAACGGCAGGGCAAGGGGGAAGCGTACAGCATTGGCAAGGTGCACCGGCCCTATCCGCCTCGTGGGAGCTACTGGGACCGCCGTGATCCAATCGCCGGTGCCGTAGCCAGTCAGGGAATACATCCGCTGCGTGTGTCCGGCGAGCGGATTCAGCTTCATGCACCTTGTCGCTTGCACTTGCACGGCGTACCTACTCCCGTGCACCTTCAGTCCGAGCGCGTGCTGGAGCCGAATGTCAGTGCGTTCCAGCCGCTCCTTTTCTAATATCTCCCGTGCGTCTGTTGGAAGCGCCTCTTCACACTCCGTCAGCCAAGCGTGCAGTGACGTGCTGTTATCCCGCGGCAGAAGCATGTGAGTCCGCGCCAGTGTAAGCGCGTTCTCTTCTCCCAGCAAGAGGTTGTTGAGAAAGAGCGCCGCCTGGGTGAAGCTCGCGGCGAAGCCGTAAATCCCCTCGATGAGGGAATTCGTGATGCCCAGACCTCCCAACGACGGAGGTAACGACGCCTGCTCCCAGACCCGTGTTTGCTCAGCTCTTCAGGTCGGCATGCGGATGTCGCAGGAGGTAAGGAGCGTGGTGAGCAGGTCCATACCCCACTGGCTCTATTTGTCGTGGGGGAGGAGGTATAGGGGCGTCGTCCTTGTAAGGTACGCGACGCGCCTCGAAATGCAGCGCGTGATGAGCAGTGCCGCAACCTGGGGGTCTGCCCGTTCGATGAGTGTCAGCGGCTTTGCCATGTCGTCCAGCTGTCCTGCTAGAAAAGTCGTCGCACCGCTGTCAGGTCCCATGAAGCTGCCTAGTAGTTGCACGCCGTCCTTTGAGAACGGCACCCCTGGAGGTAGGTGGGCTGTTTGGACTGTGCTCGAGCTCCAGGCTGCACACTTCTGTGGGTTGTGCTCGAGCCCCAGTAGTGACAATTTGCTCGTGAAATGGGTAAATGCTGCTACAGTGTCTTCTGTTTCCCCGATGAATGTCACGTCGTCCGCATATGCCAAACAGAGCACACCGGCGTGAGCATCTGCAGTTTCGCGATGCGTGGCATGTATCCCCGCCGCAAAGAGTAGTGGGTCAAGTGGGTCCCCCTGACGGACACCGCGTTCGCTACACAGTGGTTCGGAGTTGAAGTTGACATCCAGGAGCAGCTGCGACGGGTTACCGTAGGTTAATTTGACGAGCGGCAGCAGTGGCGAGAGGGCGGGGGCTTGTAACGCAGTGGCGATGGCCTGTCGCGAAATACTGTTGAATGCGTTCTTGATGTCAGCTTGCAGAACTAGGCTGGTGGGGCGGGCATCCAAGAAGGATCTAGCCGCGTGGATTACAGTCTCGGCGCCACCTGGCACTGACACACCGGACTGTAGTGGGAGGAAGAGTTCGCGGGCAGCTTCACCCATTGCTGACAGGGCCGACTTGGCCGCCAGCCTCGTCAAGCACTCGCCGATCGCGATTGGCCGAGCACCACCCTCCGGCTTGGCCAAAGCAATGAGGCGTGAAGCGGTCAGGAGGTTTGCCACCGAGCCTGGCAAATTCCCACCCAGGATGGTGTTGACCAAGGCGTGCAGATGGGTGCTGACCAATGCATTTGTGATCGCCGCGTCGCGCAAATGTTCGAATGTCATCCCCGACGGCCCGGCTCCAACCCCATTTTCGCATCTGCCCAACATTTTGGCGAAACCCGCATGGGCGATTGAAAGTGTTGACCCACGCGGCGTCGGCCAGATCACCTCCTCCCGTGCAGCGGGTGGGTGCTTTTGACGCAGCTCCTCCAGGATTTCGGGGCTGGGACTGCAGACGGGAGTTGACTCCAGGGCGAGGACGGCTCGTCGTAGGCTGCCACGTTTCGCCAGACCCTCGGCTCGGCTGATCACTCCTGTCGCATCGGGCCTGTGTCGTGGCGGAGGTGGCATGTTGACTGCGTCTACCGTGTCCAGGTACAGTTGCTCCCATTCGCCACGCTGGAAGGCTCGGAGCCGGGCTTTGATTTTTGGCCAGTCCGGTCGTTGCGGCGAGGTTTGGCGAAGAGTTAGGAGCGGGAGAAATAACAGCAGGCGCCATCCTGTCTCTGACTCTGGGTTTCGTGAGAGGTGCAGTAACGGCGTCAGTAACGCCAGCGAGAACAGCTGACACAGTTTTGGCGGTAAGCGCCGCGACAGCGAAGGTTGACAACTGTCGCACAGAGCCGTGATGTCCCAATTTCCGATGGCTGCAAACAGGTCTGTTCGCTTCGCCAGTTCGTCGGGCGAAAAATAGCGGGGGATCGGAGCGGCTGGGCGTGTCGCAACACCCGCATTCGTGGTCCGATTTCGTCGAGCACGACCCAATCGCGCTGGGGAGGCAGAGGTGGGAAACTCCTCCGTCCGATCGGCATTGAGCGGTCTGCGTTGTTCCTGGGGCGTTTGCACGCGTGCGAGCTCCTCCACTGCTTCCCTTCTCCCGGAATTCTCCCTCGCCCCGCCTTCCTCGTCCTCTCCCTCTTTGATCTCGCTATCAGGTGTTGCTTCTTCCCTATAAGAGGGATCCCGCCGCTCGTCATCCTCATTTGCTGTTTCTAAGGTGGTTAAAGCTACCCTCGCTGCTGCCTGGTAACCATTCTCTGGACCCCCGCCGGCCCCGCTTGCTGTTAGCTGTTCCCTCCCGCGACGTCCCCGCGCTTGAGATGGTGATTGCTGGAGCGCCTGAGCCGTCGCCAGAGCGCGCTGCCGCCTGGTCGGCTGTCGTCGCCAAGCCTCAGTCCCTGCCCGAAAAGGGGACCACGGCGTCGAAGCCTCCTGTACCGCCGGCTCCGAAACCAGCGACAACAGACGCTGAAAAGACTCTTCCCCCCGTACCCGCGGCTCCCCTTGGTGTGGGCGAGGCTGGCCCATCTGCTCCTGTTGTTGCTCTGCCTGCCCCGCCAGAGGCTCTCGTCCCCCTTGCTCCCGTTGTTGCGCCGACGGTGTCTGCTCCTGCTGGGGGAGCTGCTGATCCCCCTGTTCCTGCCCCTGGCGCACTCGTTGCACCGGCCGCTTCTGTCCCCGACGTGCCTGCGCCGGCGTCTGCTTCTTCCCCGAAGGCGGCGTCCGCCACCACTGTCGGCCCGGCTCCGATGGTTGCGCCTCCGGGCACGGACCTGATGGCTCCCGCTCCGCTGCCGACGGTCCCTGTAGGGCAGCCATCTCGTCCCCCGTCGCCGGACCGCCATCTATCCCGGCCCCATTCTCCAGCGCCCCAGCAGGAGCGCGAGACGTCGCGGCGCCGGCGCAACTCTCCCCGGCGCTACCAGCAGCAGGCCCAGTGGCCTGCTCACCCCGGTGGCAATGGGGGCTGGAGGGGTCCCCACGAGCGTGGTGGTGGCGGGAGATACCGTCCGCATGTGACAATGGCGGATCTTTAGCGCGAGGTGTCGAGGGCCGTGCGCGAGGAGAGGGCGGCGCAGAGCCAGAGCAGTTCGATGCGGGCTGCACCAGCGCACGTGGTTCCTTGTCAGACTGTGCCT